TAACGAATTAACTGNAATAATCAACAGTGTTATAGGGGGTATTGTTACCAGAGTAGTAATATCTTTACTTAGATATCATGAAGACATTATAACTATTATAAAATTTGTAGAAAGGAGGAAAGCAGTATCATCTGGTGTTACACCGGATGTTTATAGTATAAGGACCCAAGTATAGTTTCAAATTTATAGCATCCTGTCGAGCGGAAAAATTTTATTTTGTAGCAGCACAATTTTCAAACCGTAGTAGTAAAAAAAAGTGTGCCAGGAATATTGAAGTGGTGCCGTTTCTGGTACTAAGCCAATTTGTTACTTCTGTCTACCGAGCGTGAAAGATATAATAAGAGAAGCGATGCTACCGAGGTATCAAGCAATATCTCTAAAGGTTAATTTCCACCCTTCTAATGGGATTTTATCCTAATCGTTCTTCCGCTAGACTGTTTGCAAGGCAGCACTAACTACTTGGTGTGTTTTTTCCTATTAAAATTTATTCTTGTGATAGTAAAATGACGTTTACACTCGAGCCTAAATCGGAGTAATGTTTTTGTACTCTAATAATAGCGCGAGATTTCCGAAGGAGTAGAGTAAATTAACTAACCAAACGGCTGGTAAGATACCCCCCGACAGTCGATGAAGATAGTTCGTTTCTGGAAAGAACAGGGCAGTAACAAGATACTTTATACAATATCGATTTGTAACATAGTCAACAAACTCGGTGGTAGAGCCGCTTTTGATGACGTTAACTAGAAAGAGAGAGCAGTCGACTGTCTAAAGGAAATCCTGAAGATGTTCCCGTATCAGTTATATATTAAGAATTCGATCACGCTTGACCCATGTTCCGTTATGATTTCATAACACAACAATATCTATATGAAGAAATACTAATTAATTATTCAAAAATTAAAAAGATAACTAACACTAAAACAAATAAGGAGTTATAGATTATACATAATAGAAAAGGTAAAGAATTTCATTGTTATAGAGAATAGAAATGTACAATAAAACACTAAATATAACACCAAAAATAAACGAGCAATAACGTAACAATAAGAAAAACAGAAATCATTACAGAAGATGTAGCCTAAAAGGGCCCTAAAATACACAAGAAATTACACTAAAGTTACATTAAATTTTACATCAAAGTCACGCGTAACTTCTTCTTTCTTTCTATATTTATTATTGATAACAATACTTTTCTTGTTACTATTTATTTTCTTTTTTATTATTTTGGAAAGTGGAACAAATTCGTCCCTCCCTTTTTACGAGAAAAAAAAAATAATATTTCCACCTTTTTCGTGTTCAAAAACTTAATTCTTTTTATACTTGATACAATGTTTTTCCAGTGGAGAATTTTTTAAATCTCACAGAAATGTCATAAAAATGAAAAATATAATTATTCCAAAGATAAAATGTTTTTTAAAAACATCTAAAAAAAAAAAGAAAAAGTAATTAAGTTTACGAGTTTAGCAATTTCGAATTTTTTTTTTTTAAATCATAAATTATTTAAATACTTTGAAATATTTTTATTTGTCTTGTTTGAATTTTAAACGAAACACGTCAATGTGTATTTCTTTAGGAACGTTTAAAAAATATTTTACATTATAAAGACTCGTTCGAATTAATTGCAGATTATTATAAATAATGTTAAAAAGAAGCGAATAAAATACATGTTTTTTTTTTCTACACAATAATACACGAAAGAATTATTATTATTGTTTTTTTTAATGTAATTTTTACAACAATTTTGACTTCGATATTGCAGTATGTCACGTTTCTAATCGGGGTGTTTTTTTTTATTGCGATCGTGTTCAAAATAAACTTTAGAAAATAAAGAAATTTTTTAAAAATATCAAAGAAATCGAAAGTTGTATGAAAAATAATAAGAAATTCGAGCATCCACCGAGAGAAAAAATGAACTTCTCTAAATTCCCACATCAAAAAACATCGAAAACATATGTCAAAATTGTTTTTTGGGAAAAACAAACGTTAAAATTAGGGTTTTTTTGGGGGGGAACAAATGTTAAGATTGGGGAAAACAAACGTTAAAATTGGGGCGTTTTTGGAGAAAAACAAACGTTAAAATTGGGGTTTTTTTGGGGAAAAACAAATGTTAAAATTGGGGGAAACAGACGTTAAAATTGGGGAGTTTTTGGAGAAAAACAAACGTTAAAATTGGGGTTTTTTTGGGGAAAAACAAATGTTAAAATTGGGGGAAACAAACGTTAAAATTGGGGAGTTTTTGGAGAAAAACAAACGTTAAAATTGGGGTTTTTTTGGGGAAAAACAAATGTTAAAATTGGGGGAAACAAACGTTAAAATTGGGGAGTTTTTGGAGAAAAACAAACGTTAAAATTGGGGTTTTTTTGGGGAAAAACAAATGTTAAAATTGGGGGAAACAAACGTTAAAATTGGGGAGCTTTTGGAGAAAAACAAACGTTAAAATTGGGGGTTTTTGGGGAAAAACAAACGTTAAAATTGGGGAGCTTTTGGAGAAAAACAAACGTTAAAATTGGGGGGTTTTTGGGGAAAAACAAATGTTAAAATTGGGGAGAAACAAACGTTAAAATTGGGGAGTTTTTGGAGAAAAACAAACGTTAAAATTGGGTTTTTTTTGGTGAAAAACAAATGTTACAATTGGGGGAAACAAACATTAAAATTGGTTTTTTTTTCGGGGGAAAACAAACGGGGTTTTTCCCAAAGTTGCTCATCTCTACGTTAAAAATAATCGAAAACGACAGCGTGGAATGAGAAATGTCTAAAAATGTTCATTTCTATGATTAAGAAAACTTCGAAAATAGTAATTTTAGACGTGAAAATCTCTTTAAGAAAATTAGAAATTTCATTAATTAGTAAATTACTTAGATATTTTTAGATTGTTTGGAATTCGATACGAATTTAAATCCGTATTTTAAATAAATAAAACAAAAAACATTCTAAAGAGAATTGTTTAACGAATTAACTGAAAATCTTTTAATTAATTTTAAAATTTTTATGAGCAAAATCTCTGACGTAAATAAAATATTTACCAATTAGCTTGAAAGTTAATCGTAATTTTTCAAATTTCATTAATCTAAACAGTTGAAAATCGATTCGGATTGGTCAAAATGTAGACAAAAAAAAGTTTAAAGATATTTAATAAATTAATTCAATGAAATTAAACTCAAAAACTTGTTATTATTATTTGACGATTTCGTCTGTTTTTCCTTAAATTTTAAGTTAAAAAAAATAATAAAAATCAATTCGTTCAACAGAATTTCGAAGAGTAAAATCATCCGTCACGAAATTTTAGTGTCGGCACGTTTAAGTTCATATATGCAAATTTCCTCATTGTTTTGGAAAATTGTTGATTGTTTCGTGTTTGATAGGCTTTCAGCTTAACGGACATTAAATTAAATTTCTGACATTCGACTAATTTCACAGAAATTTCCATAACACAAAATTATAGGCCCGCAGCTAAAATGGCGTAATGAAATTTCGTTATAAACGTATATTACAATACACTAGAGCTTTAAAGTATTATTAAATTTAACAATTTTGTACGACAACGGCTATTAATTTTTAAAGTTTCTAAACTATAACGAACTTAATTTTGTTTAAAACATTTCTTTCTTACATTCTCCTATTAAAAAAAGCGTAATATAAAATCCAAAAAGATCATTTATTTATTTATTAATTTTTAATCATATTTTTTAAATTTATTTAATTTAAAATATATGCTCTCCACCCGAAATTAGTAGTGTCTTGCCCCTGTACATTATACTTTTCCTGTTAACAACAGAGACGTGCCGTCATCTAACTCGTCACAGGAAACAATTTTTGACTTGAAATAACGTAACTTCCGGTTTTTTTAAGCCTCCTATCCGTAAGCTTTCTATATCTGGTCTTATTTTTTATCTATCTAACCCCGTTCTCGAGATTAAGGACACCCACACAGACAGACAGTCAGACAGACAATTTTTCAAATTGCAGCTGTTACTAAGGTTTAGTGTATTGTATAATTCGATACACACGTCAGAGTGTTGTTCTTTTTATGAAAATTATGAAGTATTTTACGAATAAACAACAGACAAATCTTTGTTTACTCTCCTTGTTAACGTGGGAAGTATTTTTGTGGTGTTCGTTGTATTATATAAAGCTAAAATTCGTATAGAAATATATGTAAAATAACTTATATTTATGATATCATGTGTTATTTAATACAGTAATAGCAATACTTAGGCTATATACAGTTGACTCCCCTATAACACTGTTGATTATTCTGTTTTATATGAATTTCATGTTGTACGAGTCACTTAGATTTTACAAATACGTGTGCCGGGCTGTAAACGGCTCATGTATTTGTAAAATGTAAGTGACTCGTACAATATGGAATTCATATAAAACGGAATAATCAACAGTGTTATAGGGGGTCGACTGTATACATTCGAATAATCTTTTGGTGTGTTTATTTTTAATTAACACTTAAAGCATGTAAAAAAAAAAATTAAGAAATTAATTAAAATCTGAAATATAAACAAATAAACAGCGGTTTTTGATTTCCAAAAACACCATTTTTCTTAGAAAATTAAAGGTTAATTACGTAGTTTTCTAGGTCTGTCAATTCACAAAATATCTTTATAAATTGGAAAATAATTGTTTATTTTTAATTGTTCAAGTAGCAAAAAAAATGGACGAACAAGTAAACAAGAAAAAAATGCAAATCGAGTAATATTCAAAACGATCCAATGGGAACGTTTCACCTTCGACACACGTGCCAGACGTCACACCATCTGCAGCATTAACCTCTGACCTCAAAAACGCCCTAACAGCTAACCTCCATCTCTAAACATAGGAACTACTTTAGGTATTTAGATCTAAATTCTATTGTTACGTATCGATACTACGTCATAAAACAATGTAATTTGCATTCTAAGCCCATCACTAACGATCAATCGAAATGGTTAAAGATGTAGATAGAACGTTTCCCGAGGGTTATAATCGTTAAAAAAAAAATGTCAACTTACCTCGTTAACTCGGTCGAAAATAGCAGATAATTGTCGAGATTGAAGCTAGTTTCTCCTTGTGGTCGGCTCCTCTGTACGGCATGTGCTATTCCCCCTGTTTAGTCAATAGCAGAGGAGAAAAGGAAAACGACGAGAACGAGGTTAGCATCCGTGACGTCACAGCAGCGATTGTGTCCTGTAGAAAATACCGACAGGTGTTATTTGTCACGTTCGTAATTAACGCGAAAAAAAGATACATTACTCGAATTTTTTAAATTTTAATTAATATTTTAAATGCTATTTTTATTTTTTTTTAACGCTAGTCGATTTTATGGCGTTTAAATCGTTAATAAAAACATTAAATTCCCGTTTGTCACATTATATATTTAGATACGGTCGAGATTCACGCGATTTTTCAATAGACCAAACGAGTATTCGATGCTGTTAAATCACACACCACATTTTATCTCTCTCACAATGAAAACTAATGCTTTGTGTGTGTGTGTGTGTATGACGTCAGTTTTTACCATGATATTTGATTCGGTCTCTGTGACCTCATTATATACGTTTGAATTGTGTTCTAGACGTCACACTAGTATTTACTGCGCCTAACATTACAACAATAAATCGAAAAATTGATTCGATGTTTTGTGACGTTACATTAATAATCTTTAAAGGTTATTTCGTAAAATAATGAATTTTAAATACAGTAAGCCAAAAATCTGACACTATCCTATGTCATACAATACGTCACACTAGTGTTTTAATTACATTCTGTGACGTCGGATTTACGTTAAATAATAAGACGAATGGCTCAAGAATTTAACGTCACTTTTTCGTGATTAATCTGACGTCACTGATCATTTTTTTTTCTGGAGAAATTGATCGATCAAACTGATCACGTGACAATATTTTACCGCATTCTTTTATAATCTAAACAGATAATTATATTACGTTATGAAATTTTAGTAACTACGACGTCATAAAACTATACACTTTCATTATTCATGGCACAATTTACACGAGCGAAATAACACGGCAAATTCTGTAATAAAAACAATTTTTATTAGTGTGATATCAGACAATATCACACCATTGATAGTGTATCTCTCTGACTTCACAACTCCTTTATTATTTTCTGTTATACAAAAGACACAGAATAATTCATTATCAATTGTCCAGTCTTTTCTTTATCAGCCTTACACCAACTTTTCTATAATTAAAATTAATAATTTTCTTTGTTTCTAGTGTTTAAAAAAATTGTGACATTCTCTTTATGACGTCATAAAGCTTATAGACGTAACAATAAAAACGAATTTTATTATATTACGTCATAATCATAAAATTATACTATTGTTATAAAATTATGAGTGATTTTTATAGGAAGACCGTAATTAGTCTACGTCACAATTACTGAAAATAACAATTTTCTATAATACTTTCAACACCGGAATATTTGTACTGTACTGTACAAACACAGCGCAATATGGCGCAGTACAAGTATATTCTATTATGCTAATGAACCATTATGCCAGACTATGGAATCTACTAAATTAATTAATTACCATTGGGGAATGACTATATAGTTAGTTACTTTATCAATTCTAGTGACGTAATAACGAGAAAGTTTGGCTACCCGCTGACGTCATACAGATACCGTCTTTTAATGTGTATAATTAAAACGTGACGTTATAGCGATTGATGCGGTCGTGCCAAGACACAATACGCGAACTACACCACGCGTGACGTAACGGAGAGAAGAGATTATGTATATTTTGCGTCATAATACATCAATTGTTTAATACTTTATATCAAAATACGAGATTTATAATTAAGTTAGTGGCATGTGTTCGAAATTCAAAGCACTTTAATAAGCTTTTACGATTCGGAATTTGGATAATAATTATCATTAGCGTTAATAAATCCCTACGAGGGTTATATTTTTAAGTGTTACTTATGAGAAATTTATTCATAAGTAAGTAGATAAATAGTACAAAAGAGATTAGAGAAGATAATTTAATACACTTCGTAAGATCCGAGTTCAACTAAAAATCTAAAAATAAATTGAATAATGAATAATTAATTAGCATAAAATCGAAAGAGAACACACACGACTGGGCATTAAAATCAAAAAAAAACTGCCGAAAAAAAAGTAAATTTCTCTCTGTTTTTCCTTTACGAAACGTTAAATCGGGGGTTGGAGAACGTAACAACGAGAGGATTTATTTACGAAGCTAGAAAATGGTATTATTTAAAGCGAATTTTGGATAAATTTTTTGGCTGGTGACGATGAAGGATGGAGTAGTAAATACAAAATCGATAAATATTGTAAGGTCGTGTTAACAATTCAAGATTTAAGCGCTATATAGAGGTTTATGGGAAAGAATTATATTAAATGATGTAAAATTTTAAAATATCTAGGAGCTGTTTATAGTATATTTTATTATATCTTGCGAGATGTAATGATGAGGGAGTGATAAAAATGGTAAGAAATGGGCTCTGGTGATGCGAGTAATGGTAAAAATGACTTTAACTTTGATAGATACATAAGAAAAAAAAATGAAGGAAAAGGTAAAAGATGGCTTTAATGATGATAGATGTGATAAGTAATAGATTCTGGTGATTTAACAATGAGAAAAAACGGCTGTAATGATGATAGAAACGTTTTTAATAATAATAAAAAGAGGTAGAAAATGGTTTTAATGATGATAGAAATGTTAGGAAGGATGATAAATAGAAAATAATAAACGTGATCGAGAGAGGAAACAAAAAATGATTCGTCATTATCACGCGCCCATTAATTCGATTTTGACGAAATTGTCGTTCACGCGTGAAGAGTAAATTTTTAACGAGAAAAAGCTGGAAAACGGAAGAAGATTAATCAAATCTGTTCGAAAAGAAAGTTTAAAAAATGTCCAAGGTGAACTCAAGGTCAGAGGTCGAGATCTAAGAGTAAACCGTATCGATCCGCTAATTATATTTTAGTCGGTTGAATTTATTGTGAAAATTTCTCTTCAAAATCAATTTACCTAGTTTACGGGTAATTAATCGATGAACGTGTCATTTTGTGTGACGTCCACATCTCCCGCTTCACGTGACTGTAGTTAAAATTAACCATTTGTTAAAGATCGTATCGAAGATGAAGTTATAGAACACGAGCAGAAGTCGGAAAGGTGTGCTTTATGTTACGCAAAACGAGGGTCATTATATACATTAATATCATCGAAAAAAAATGTACGCGTCCTCATTCGCCTATTTAAATTCAAATAAACCAATGATGAAATGTTATTTTCGAATGGACACACCCCCGTGACTTTATTTGTTCATTTTAAAACTAAATAAGCCATTAATGAGACGATGAAATAGACATAAAACTTCTATTTGTTCGTTCGAATGTAAATAAACCAATTACAAGAATTCACGCGAGTTATCGTGCTCTCCTATTGGTAGACGATTTTGATAATTGACATAAATGATTACAAAAATATAAATCAAGAGAATTACGAAGAAAACACACAAATATGGCGTTACTTCCATTACGAAATGAACTTTTACACACAAGTCGTCTTGTTTAACTCGACATCTTATAGAGAATTTCTAAGATTTAGGAGTAATTCTAAACATTAATTAAAAACATTTTCAAAAACCAAAAGAATTTAAGCTGAAAGAAGTTTTAGAAGTCGAAGAATTAACGCTACAATACTATAATATTGTTAAGTTTCATAAGTGGAATGCAACACGATGTCCTAAATCTTTCTTAATCCGTTACAAGGAAGTTGTTCTTAATTCTTAACAAACTCTAAAATACTTTAAAAAACTGTTTTCTTTATTATAAGAACCGATTTTATTTAAGTGACAACAGTAAACAAAATGACGATTACCGAACTTCGATATAATGCCCCTCTAAATAACAAAACCCGCACGAAGTTTTAATAAATAATTGTAAACTGATCCTCCCCATAAGTATTAAATTTGATGTCCTTCACTAACTGCAAATTATTTAAATAAATGACTTTCCATTACAAACCGCATGTAAACATATAATCTTATTGTTTGAAGTACAGTACTTCAGTTTAGCTCCGGTTCCGGAAGTAAATAAATAATGGTACTAAATTGAAGCTTATCTTTACAGTTTGATACACGTTGTTCACCAATATTGTGCAGTAATTACACCATCATCTACATTTCCTTACTGATTCCAATGACTTTTTGAGTAAATTTCCATTATAAAATAACGAGAAGACCGATAAACAAGGGGGAAAATTTTCTTTAATTAACTATTTGAAAAGAAATTTACTTAATATTAATTATTTTAAGTGAAAAAAATAACACTATGTTCCTATTCGTGTACTTAAGTAAAGTAAATATGATATTTGAAAACGCCTCCACACTTGTTTACAATTTAAATAATTCGATAACTACACACACACAATAATAATAATAAATAAATAAAATAAAAGAGCTCGAAGCATTTTAAATTTAAAAATAAATAAATAACGTAACGTTGTAGCCGTTAGAAACGCCCACGAGCTTTTATTCGTTCCTTTCAAATTTAAAAAAAACCAATAACAGACATTAATAATAGATTCGTCCATCCTATTCGCTTAATCGAATTTAAATCGTTATTTAAAACGTACATTTCACGTAATAACCGTTATTTTTGAATTCGAATTAACCAATAAAAATATTTCTAGCGAATTAAATACGGATCTTATTTATTAAAAAAAAAAAAAAAAAAACCTCGTTAATTTTTTAAAAATAAAGTAGACAGCACTTAAAATCTCTAACAGCAAATATTGAATTATTTAATATAAAATTTATAATTAAAATTTCTACGAACAGAAAATAAATTCAATTCGGAAAACAAATATGAAAATAAATTAATATTTTTATTATCTCTGTTTTTCCTTTACGAAACGTTAAATCGGGGGTTGGAGAACGTAACAACGAGAGGATTTATTTACGAAGCTAGAAAATGGTATTATTTAAAGCGAATTTTGGATAAATTTTTTGGCTGGTGACGATGAAGGATGGAGTAGTAAATACAAAATCGATAAATATTGTAAGGTCGTGTTAACAATTCAAGATTTAAGCGCTATATAGAGGTTTATGGGAAAGAATTATATTAAATGATGTAAAATTTTAAAATATCTAGGAGCTGTTTATAGTATATTTTATTATATCTTGCGAGATGTAATGATGAGGGAGTGATAAAAATGGTAAGAAATGGGCTCTGGTGATGCGAGTANAGTCGACCCCCCTATAACACTGTTGATTTTTCCGTTTTATATGAATTCCATGTTGTACGAGTCACTTAGATTTTACAAATACGTGAGCCATTCATAGCCCGGCACACGTATTTGTAAAATATAAGTGACTCGTACAACATGGAATTCATATAAAACGAAAAAATCAACAAAGTTATAGGGGGGACATGTAAAAATTCCCCAGGTGAATTGAAATGTTTTATTTCTTATAAACACCTTACAAACGATATAAGTGTGGTTAAAGAGTTAAAAATATATATAATCCTTTTACAGTTATAAAATACAGCTGTATAAATTAGAAATATATACAGTACATTGAGTAGGAGGTCATTCAGTACCGAGGCTTGTAAGCCTCATTTCATTGAATCGATCGGGAAGTTAAAGTGAGGAAACTGAGGTATCTATCAATACTAACCTACTGATTGAAGATCTAGGAGGTAGTTCCTTCAACAGAGTCGGAAACCGCCATTGATCAAATATTGCCAATACAGTATAGTAGTAATTTCAGATATATAATTGTCAGTAAATACACTCACGTAACACTTTTATGATTGTTAACATTAAACAGCCATAACGGGATCAAATAACTTACATTTACACTAGATTTATTGCCCGAAGTTACTAATTATACTTCACTGATAATATTGTAAGGATCGGCTTAGTAAACTTCGGGATGATGACGACAATCCTTACGTATATTGGACTAATTCTGTATAAATAAATAAGGAATTTGAGCTAAATCAACAACACAATGTGAAATCTTCCTTGCAACGAACTTGAAATTCATTGTTCGAATACAATGCTGGTGTTCGGATGACGAAGAAATCAATTTAATTACTAAATTACTAAATGCATTGTTTATATTAAATTATTATTCGATAAATATTATTCTTATTAAGTTTTAAATCTATTGACTTTTAGCGACTTCAGCGTAATTTAAGCTTACATCACAATTAAATACCAACAATAATTATTAACTATTACGAAAGAATTAACAATGAAAATAAGCATTTCGAAATACGGAAGAACTTTATTCGCGTTTCACTTCATACTTTCGCTTACCGTTTCACAAATTTTGACCAAACAAGCGAGTGTCGACGACGAAAAGACATTGACAAAGAAACGTGACATCGATTACGCGAAAAATGAAAACGAAGAAAACGTCACAGATGGAAACACGCTGAAAATTAGTTACAGAAACGTGATCTTTTCAGAAAATCATAAACAAGAGAAGAGAACAGTGGCTACGTCGAAAGGAAGAGAAAATAAGAAAGGAACATCACACCTTTTAAGCACTTGGGAGAAAGATGACTCCAAAGATGGAGACATTCTAAAGAGGGGGCAAAAAATTCTGATTTATAGAATGGATAGTGATAGAAACGAGACCGACAATAGTAACACTACGATGACATACGAGATGGACGAAATAAAAATTATTGTATGGAAGTTGTTTGGAATTGCCATCATAGCCGTTATTCTCTTGTTCATTTTGTGTCTGGTGGTCTACAAACAAACAAAGAATAACAAAACGATAAAACTGACGAGGTCGAAAATAAAACAAATGAAAGAAGAAACAAAACTATTTAAACGTAACCTGGAAACTTTTCAATTGGCTCAAATTTCTCCAGGGAGTACGAAGCACGAAAATGGAAGAGGTTCTTTCCCTCGAGCCATTCGATGTCTAAAAGTTTTGACGAAGGACTTATCATTAGAAGAACCCGTCGAAAATTGAAGAAAACATTTTACGTAATAAATTTATAGATGTATTTTTAATTAAATACAAAAACGTTAATTTTGTCTTATCGTACGTCATCCGGATTGTTTGCCGTGGTAAAACAGACGTAATAAACGTATTTACAGAGAAAAGATTGAAATCATCATTAACTCCCCACACTCCGTCACCAACTATCACTAGTGTTAAATATCCCCAGTGTGGTTATTGTATTTCAACTTCCCCGATTATTAATTTAAACTCACTCATTAAATAAATATTGCAATATAAGCAGATTTTCATCCCTTTTTTTCTATTTTAGACTCCAAATCACCCACAAATAGATGAAACCCACGCGTTTTCTTTAATAGACGTGGGGAGCCTTCAATTTTAGTCAATTTTTAAAACGAAGCTTAACAAGATACCTGTGTAAGACGGGCCAATTTCTTTATCTTGTCCGAAATATTGAGGACGTCGTCTGAACTTCTTTGATAATATTGGGTTCTTTTATCATTCCGTTCGGGGCAACTTAAATTCTTTTCTCTGTCAAGTTGTAAAAAAGCTAACCTCCGGTCGACACTTCAATGACACTTCTACCGAACCTTTCACACACCTCTTCTTTCTCCGGGTTCGTTTTAATGCGATTATTCATCGTTTCGTAAATTAGTATTTAAAAAAAATACTGGTTAAAGGTAATTACAGAACTTCGACAATACGCGCCAACACTTTCGAACGTCAAAAGCGCTCCCTCACGAAATATCACTGGAGTGATGTTATTACGTCACGCGTGTAGTCCCTTAACTCGGAAGCAAATTGGTAGTGATCGATTACTTAAAACATTACGATGTGTCCACTACCGGTTTCTAACTTCTACAAAATAATTAACCTACATAATAAAGACAATTCAAATCCATTGTATTGTAATACACCAGCGAATGTATCACGTGAAAAATTTTTGAAATAATCTAAAATATATTTTATTTTAAGCTCTTCACATAGGCCAGGGCTTCTTAAACTTTCTTTATTCACGACCCCATTTATAATTGTGATTTTTTTTGCGACCCAAAAACAATATAAAATAAAGATATATACAAATTTGCAAAAACAATAATGGTGTACTACCCCAGTTCACTCTTGTGTTACAATGGAACAGAGACAACTGAATACACTGAAAAGCGACAACACTACACTAGTTCACACTACAGTCAGTGTTGCTGAATCATTGTCTCTCTGCAACAGAAGTGACACAAAGCGCAACTCACGAAACCTATGACACAAAGCGTGCCATTTTCAAACTCTCACAAATTATTTTCAATATTTTGCATTAAAATCTCGCGACCCCAAGATTTCGCTAAGCGACCTCAAATGGGGTCGCGACCCATAGTTTTAGAAGCCCTGGAAAAGGCTAATACGATGTGACAAATCGATACACAAGGGCCCACCAGATATGAACAGAAAACAATTTGTACATATGTTTTCTGTTTTGTATTTAATAAACTACCAATGCAGGCGCCCTATGATCCTATCATCACTCTGCCCTCCTTTTCATCACTTGCCTTCTTCTCTCTTCCTCTTCTTTCACCATCTTTTCAACCGCCAGGTCGTACCTTTGAGTGGAACCAGGAGGCAGTCCCTTCTTTCAACTAGTAGTAGTACAATTTTTGTGATAACTCAGGATGTATTTTCTTCATAATTTGACGTTTAGACTATGTACAAAAAGTCAAAAATAACTTTTGAGTCCATCTTTATCCCTTATACACTACCACAGAAGTAACAGTCTTAAAAAAAAATGCTTTGAAGAACTCTTCTTTATAGTAGTAGTATGTCCATTATGGGGCCAAGCGGTCTTCGTTCCCTGAACACTGAGAGTTCGGTCGTGGATTCGCGCCTCGCTCGGACGGGCCGGCCACGCGGAGTTTTCCAGGTTTTCTCCACGTCTGTAACGCCTAAATAGGGACCAGTTTCCCTTAAAAAGACCCCCCCGGAAGGCATCGCCCTTTAGGCAGATCGCCCAATTGTTGCGTTGCCATAACTTAACAAACAAAATTTGCCATTGCGCAATAGTCCATATATCGTGTTGGATTTCCTATAGGAAATCTTTGTACTCGTACGGGCAGCAATTTCTTTGTAGATGGGGCTTAGATGTTGATTGTATTCCACCACCGCGCGTAATTAGTTATTATTGTGGTCTTGGGTTCCGTTGGGCATTACCTATGTTGGATATGTTAGGCGCGGCTAGTTGTTTGGAGTATGCACGCGATAAGTTGTATAACAGGCCCCTACTATACCCGTACCTTACAGCTTCAATGCGCTTCAACTCTGCCACGATTTCCTCCCATCTGGTGTGGTGCGTGTATGCCCTTCTCGTTAGCGTACGGAAGGCGCGATCTTATAGGAGAAAAGGTCCGGGATAAATAATGGTACGAAGCACGGTTTATAATAAACGCTCGTTTCCACCCGGATGCTGTCGAGGCAAACGTTGATATCAAGGAATTGTGCTACTCTTCTGATCTAGCTTGATGGTAAGGCCATATGGGTTGTCGTTCATGAAACTTACGAAATTCTTTACGTTCGGCTCAGCCTTCCATAAAATAAAATGGTCATCCACATACCTCTTGTAAACTAGAATGTTTGATAGGAACAAAGGTATAACTTTTTGCTCCAGCAGCCGAATTAATAACTCGCGTAAATTTCCTGACAGGGGGTTGCCCATAGGTATGTCCCGATTTTGTAAGTCTGTATTGCTATTAAAGCAGAAGAATGAGGTATAGCACAAAAGATGTGCTAGCTCTAATACAAGCTTACGTTGCGCATTCGCTCCGGGGCTGCTTAGTAACAGATCTCTAAGCGCACAGAAACATGGTTGTATTTTGATTGAGGGGTATAGTGAGACGAAATCAAAGACGGTAATACAGGCTTCGTTAGTTACCCTAAGTTGCAGCAAGATATCTATTAGATCCGTGGAGTTCTTGACATTCCAAGGATACCCATTCAAGCGCTCAGATATAAAGTTCTGTAGTGACCAATCTGACAACCTAGTAGGAGACCTAGCTTTATCTAGAACGGGACTCAGAGAGGATATAGGCTCATGCGTTTTTGCGAACGCAAATAGCCTAGGTTTATCCGATGAGGCGACCACAGCCCTGTTTAACTTCCACGCCCTGGCCAAGGGAGTTTGCGTGAATCGTTTCACTCGCGCGTGTAACCTGTTTAGGTACCCATTCTTGACGGGTTCACAGTCTGTGTCCATGATGTACCGCTGCATCAAGGATTTCTAAGTGTCCTCTTTCAATAAGACAAGAGCCCTGCTTTTATCTGCCTTGAGTACGATGAGTTCATCAAACAAGCATTTCTTGGATCTTCTTAGAAGACGCCAGAAACTGTCATCCCGGTTCCGGTTATTGGTAGACCAGATTTTGAAGGCGGCTTTCCACCAGTAGTATTCCTTGTGGACACCCGTCATACGCGTGATGAGGCTTTCGATGTCTGGCATCACTCCTTCAAGTTGTATTTTGGAGTCACCTGGCACACACATAGCACATACCTGTATTAGAATGTGAATGAGATATTCTGGGGTGAAAAGTTGTCCCAACAAATTAAAGACGTGGTGTGGAATTCATTGCGAGGTTTCTGTTTACTCAGAATCCAGGCTAATTTCTTCTGATACTTCTTTGCCAGGCTTCATTGAAGTATCTCTTGGAAAATTGTTACTTTCCTGCTCACTTCACACAGTAAGGCAGGATTTTGCTCGTAGACTTGATTCTCCACTTTAATTAAGCCTTTGAGTTTAGAGTACATGATTTTTCTTGATATTCCTACGGCCTTTCTTAAACATAACTTTCTTAGATAAAAGCCCTTGGAAACACATTGTTCATCTGGCATTTCACAACGAATCTAAACTTAGCTCTAGCCCTAGTCAAGGCTAATACCAATTTCTTATATATGTATAACTTAGCTGACATAGCTTATAATAGAGCACAAAGACTGCCTATAGGAGATCCAACACAGTATATGGGCTATTGCGCAACGGCAAAGACAGGACCGACAAAAGTCAGGCACCGGTCATATACGTGGTTCCCTCAGACAACAGATTTCAAAGGGATTTAGTATACATTGGGTCCACGAACGCTCTCTAAGTAAATGAATACAGGAGCACAGATATGATATCACTAACAAAAGACGCACCACCGCCCTACTCACCTATGCCGCAGACCCGACATAAAGCCAAACTGATCAGACTGTCACATCGAATTGAACACCTTTGAAACCTTTGAGGCATTAGAAATTTACAAACCAGGCTTACATGGCAACTGTATTAACACAAACCATTGTTTTCTATGCATGGAGATACTGTTACGAAAAAAACGGGCAACACCAGCAGTTAACACCTCTTTTCTGTACCTTTATTTATATCGTATTATTCACTGTTTATGCTATTGATATAGTTCTATCGCCATGGTAACATACACGGATAAAAGTTGTATACATGCGCTTAGGTTGTTCCATAAATTTTAAAATAATTTTTGACCATGTTGTTCCATAGGTTCCATAGGTTTTTTAAAAAAATAATTTGTAAATATTGTTCGTTGCCTTCCAAGTTCGAATCTTACTGGTTTTAAAACCTGAGGAAGACCATTAAAGTGTTATTACTGGATTCTTACTGTTCTCGAGTATCATCACAATCAAATATACTCGACAATTAATAATATTGTTCGTTAATAATCAACTATTTCACGAGAATTAATAACGAAAATAAGCAACGACAGAACATTACTCATGTTTCGCTTCATCCTTTTGCTTACCGTTTCACAAATTTTAACGGAACAAGAGAATACCAACCATGAAAGGATTTTGACGAAGACAAGCCACATCGATTACGCAAAGAGTTAATGAAGTCAAAACGCGTGGAAAATTAATTACAATTGACAAAATCCAAGAAAAGAGAGGAGAAAATTAGAAGATCTCTTCAACACACCAGAGAAGAATGATTCTGAAGACAAAAACGTTTGGAAAATAGAGGAGAAAATTCCGATTTCTATAATAGATAGAAAAAATGGAAAATGACACCCGAAACTATAACGTCACACACGTAGCTGCGAAAGACAAACGATACGTTGAGAGGACCTTGTGGCGAATGTTGGCCGTAACCGTGACATCTCTGCTGCTCTTCACCTCCCTGTGTCTGGCAGTTTACTTCACACGTAGAAATAAGAGAAATTCGATCAAAGAACTGATGTTGAGAAACAGCAGAAAAAAAAATGAAAGAAGAAACGGAATTATTTAAACGCAACCAAGAAGCCTTTTCGTTACCCGCCATTTCTTCTCGTAACGCAACCACCGAGGGTGGAGGATCTTTCCCTCGGAGTGCCAAATCCGTAGACGTTTTGAGAGAATTTCATAAATGGGATGACTTTGTCCGAAAGTGACCGAAGAATTTTCTTTAATAAAATTGGAAATTTCTCGCTTTGTACTGTACGTGCATTCGAAAATATAATACATTCGTCGATTTTTCCATCTCAGAATCAACAAAACCGACGGAAAAATCGAGTGTTAGTAATTTCAGAAATTG